AGTATATGTTCAATTACAATTAGTATTATTGTTTTTTCCCCAATAAACCTAATTCCCCTACATTATTAATTGTCTATTTGGTAACAGTATACCTTTATATAATCACAAATCCCAATATGAAAAAAAAATTACCAGCCATTTATATTTGTATGTCACTATTTTCAGTTATGCATAATTCCACCAATCAACTTTCGGGTATGCTTATGTTCATTATTATCTTTGTACATCATACATTCAAACAGAGATCTTATTCCTTCATTTATAAACAAAATATTCTAAATAGTCACTACATATATATACCAATTTTTAGTTATTCCCTTATTAAAATTATTTATCAACAACAAGATATCCTTGTAATATATTCTTAGGGTTATACATTATATCACCAATCCTCTATCAAGTATACATAAAATCATTGTTATCCTTATCCATTTTAAAACAAAAAATTCTAAAATATTCAATTCATCGATATCAGTTTTTCATTGTATCGTTGTTAATCTATTTCACAGCATAATTGTGTTGTCATTTAACTCCTTCAGTTAAAACATAAGTAAAACATTTTTCATTTCCAAGTTTTTTCCCCCAGCCTCTGATAAAACAAGTCCCATATAAAATTGCTCGTCTTCTTGTTCTCTAATTTCAAATGTCATTTGTTTGTTTGTTTTTGTTTTTAAACTTACCGTATATTCATTTATCAGAGGTGGGAAACCATGGCCCCTTTATGATCTGTGGACTTCATCTCCCAGAATTCCTGAGCTGGTTCAGAAATTCTGGGAGTTGAAGTCCACAGGTCATGAAAGGGCCATCGTTCCATACTCCCGTTTTAAAATGTCACTCAGAAAAGGCCAAAACGTCTTTAAAGAAAAACCCATCTAGATCAGTGGAAAGTTTTGGAAAACTTTGAAAAGTGCTGGAATAAATTAAATAAATGTGTTTATTACAGGCCTTGATTTCAATTCCTTCGTTCACAAAAATCCTTTGTTTCTCTTTGTTTCCCCCTCTGGGATAGCCCTCTCACAGTGACAAAGCAGCCAATCTCGAGGTGCTGAAATGGACAAATGACCTTGCAAAGTTTAGGAAGCAACTAAAAGGTGAGAATTTACCTGGCAAGGCCTCCTTGTTTAGGCTTGGACTTACTTTCCCATTGCCTGTCATTCAAAATACTTTTTTTCCCTCTTTCTTGCCCAAAACTAGAGTCAAAACTGAAACTGTCAGAAGAAGATCTGGCTCCTAGGACACGCCAACGTAGCAACACACTCCCCAAAAGTTTTGGCTCTCAGCTGGAAAAGGAGGAAGAGAAACACGATGTCTCTGATAAGTCATCTAAGCCTTCAGTGGAGACAACTTTGGAATCCATGCAGAAGAAGCTCCAGGAGAAAAGGACAGAAGCAAATCGACCTGAGGATATTAAGGTACAACTTAGGAAAATAGAAAGAAAGAAAAAATGATAATTTTAAAAAATCCCGCACCATTATTAAGATCTTCTCTGAAGTGGTGTGCATACAGAGATGATAGGTAAAGGTAAAGATTCCCCTCACACATATGTGCTAGTCATTCCCAACTCTAGGGAACTGCGTCTTATACTCCAAAAACTATGGTATGTCTTAAATTTCTATTGTAAGCTGTCCCACGTTATATACAGTATGCGAGATGGACAGTGATATAAACCCAGTAACTAAATGGATAACTGGTTTTTCTACTCGGTAGATGTCCAGTGGATGTTCCATGACACAGAGACCACTAAATAACTGGAGATGCAGGACTAATCTTTGAAAGGGAATGCTTCCCTTCTAGAAAACATGAACATTGCAGTCTAGGGCAAAAGAACAGCCAAACAACATCATCAGCTTTTCATCTATTAAGCCTTGTTTATTGACTTTTTTTCCCCATGTTGCTTGCCAAATTCAGCACTTGACATTGCAGCATTCTGAGTTTGCATTTCCATTTGACAAGTACTGTAGTTTCTAAACCTCACCTTCTAGAATCAACCATCTAACATTAATATTATTAAAGCATCTCCCACTCTAGTCCATCTCTCTCAAGAAAGCAGTCAAAATCTAATGGTGTAGGGAATTGTCAATATACCAAGAAGAATTAATAAGGTAGCATCCTTTAGGTCCAAGTCTCAAGACTTGTTTCTTTCAAACACAGCTAAAATATTCTTACAAGTGATGTATTACTTATTTTCACTGACCCACTCAATGAATCCTTTCCTTGACTACTTTCTTAAAAGTCCTGGCCAGGAACATTTTTCAAAGAATTTTCTTCACATCCTTAGACCTAACCAAAAAGAAAAACTGCCAACAACACCAACCCAGGTAGAATTCTGGGCATATTGATTAATGTATTGATTAACTTAATTTAATTTATCATTAGCTTCCTCTGTGCAGAAGCAATTCCAGGTGATGCACAGAGATAAAGGAATTTAAAACAGACTCAAGATAGCCATTGATTAGCAAATTAAAAAACTCCAGGATTCAAACAATATGAGTCGTACTGGGGCAGTGGTTAGAATGCAGTACTGCAGGCTACTTCTACTTCAGCTGCCAGCAGTTTGGCAGTTCGAGTCTTACCAGCTTATGTTTGACTCAGCCTTCCATCCTTCCCAATTCGGTAAAATGAGGACCCAGATTATTGGGAACAATATGCTGATTCTGTAAATCACTTAGAGAGGGCTGTAAAGCACTGTGCAAAATGGTATATACCATATTTTTTGGAGTATAAGATGCACCTTTTTCCCTCAAAAAAAAGGCTGAAAATTTGAGTGCATCTTATACACTAAATACAGCATTTTTGGCCTCCAGAAACCCACCCCTTCACAAAAATGGACATGCATAGCCTGTAGGAGGCTTTCAGAGAACTCCTGGGGGCTGGGGAGGGCAGAAATGAGCAAAAAATGGGCTGTTTTTAGCTCAGTTTTGTGTCCAGCCCCCAGGAGCACTCTATAAACCTTCTAAAGGCTATGCATGCATTTTTTTTTACAAAAAAATGGGGCAGTTTTTTGCAAAAAATGTACCGTTTTTTGCTCGTTTTTGCCCCATCCCCCCAAAAGCATTCTACAAACCTCCTAAAGGCTATTCATGACTTTTTTGTTTTTGAAAAAAAACCAGGCCCGTTTTTGCAAAAAAGGGGCCCGTTTTTGGGAAGTCTACTGAGTGCAAAAACTGTATTTTTTAAATTTGCCTCTTCAAAATCTTGGTGCGTCTTATACCCCAAAAAATACAATAAGTCTAAGTGATATTGCTATTGCTATACTGTATCTGTACTGTTCCTCTACTTTTTGTCTATCCTTCCTGTACCCAGGATATGACTCGAGATGAGATAGCATCAGAGAAAGTGGCCCTTCAGAAATCCCTCCTCTATTATGAAAGCATCCATGGAAGACCAGTAAGTATAGTAATTTTTGTATCAAATGGGCTCAGTGTTTCGGTAAATGCAATTGTCTGGCTATTAAATGTGAGAACATGTCCCCGTTCATTAAAATATACAAAGAAAAGTAGCAATACAGTGATGTTGAGGACTGGCTTGGTATCATTGTGGACAGTAATTATAATTGGTGCTTAGATTAAAAGAATAGAATAGAATCTAGAATACTTTTATTCGGCCAAGTGTGATTAGACAGACAAGGAATTTGTCTCTGGTGAAGAAGCTCTCAATGTACGTGCAAAGAAACAGAGTAATAATAATCATAATATCACTGTTATGAACAGGGACACACATTCAACTTTGCAGCTGCCAGGATTGTTGGACGAGCAGGTACAAAAACAGCCATGGAAGTGATTGAAGCCTGGGAAACAGGGCCCTCGTCAGTCAACAGGAGTGCTGATTCAAGTACTTCAAAGGCGAGGGCTGGGCAGCACAATCAAACGACAGCTAATGCCTTGAAAGCCAGCCATCAACACACCCCAATCAATATCTAAAGAGCCACATACACAGAACACTCATAGAACAGCACTCACTCTGCTAGAGACAAGTTCCTTGAAGATGGGCTCCAGCACGAGTCCGAAATCTCAGAAGACAAAAATCTCTGGTCCCAGTGACCAACCCAGATCGGATCCTGCCACTTCCATCCTGGGACACGTATATTCGTTTCCATTTGTAATCGTAACAGGATACCGATAAGAGTAGAGAAGATGAGAAGGATGTACAGCCGTACAAGATGGTGAATAAACAAGGCATCAGACTTTGAGGATTAGGTGTTCATCAGAGTGATGGCCACAAGGAGGGAAAAACTGACCTTGTGTCTAGTTATTTTGGCCTGCAATGCCCAGAAGCAGCATTCTGAGGGGAGNGGCAAGAATGCAGGAATGAACTAATTGTCTCCTGCAAACTCCACTCCCCTTTCGCTCCTCTTTTATTCCCTCTGGGAGGGGCCATTCACCGTCCATCTGTGGCTTTAGTCCTGATCAGCCCTTGTTCCTTAGCTGCCTCACTGATGTCTGACTTCTAAGGCAGCTGATAACTGTCGTGGCCCCTGCTCTGCCTCCGACACAGAGCCCTCATCAGAGCCTTCCCCAGACTCCAGGACTGGCCCATGTTCCTCCCCAACCTCCGAATCTTTAACCAGCTTTGCTGGCCGCTAGCGGGCCACAACATGGTGTTTGTTTTTCTCAAAATGTCCCACTACCTCTTCAAGGGGTTCAATCAATGGCTTACTATATGGTGGGAACATCAACCACGACATGCCACCATGACAAATCAAGGCACTTCAAGCTTCAAACCATGTCAAAGCCAGAGCTCATGTTTAAATACATGACTCAGAATCGCTTTTCTATTCACCCTGGCTTGTGATAAGGTAGCAACCAGTGGTGGGATTCAAACATTTTTACTACCGGTTCTGTGAGCATGGCTTGGTGGACGTGGCATGGCTTGGTGGGTGTCGCTTGGTGGGCATGGCAGGGGAAAGTTACTGCAAAATTCCCATTCCCTCCCAATCAGCTGGGACTCGGGAGGCAGAGAATAGATGGGGGTGGGGCCAGCCAGAGGCAGTATTTACCAGTTCTCCGAACTACTCAAAATTTCCGCTACCGTTTTCCAGAGCTGGTCAGAACCTGCTGACTTACCACCAATAGTAGCAACTTTTGGGAAATAATATGGGATGGAATGAGGGATGGGTGGGAGGGAACTAGGCTCCAAAATTGAAGGAAAACAAGGAAAGGGGGACCAGGTTCAGCCATTTTGTCCGTAACGTGGTGGTTACCTCGGTGGTTATGGGTCACATGAGTTCAACCAAACCATGGTTGAACAAACCAGTTTTGTGCGATGCAAAACCCCAACTGGTGCCCTAATACTTACACGGCTTCAAGTTCTTCTCTTCCAGAACTGCCAACCACTTGGCACCCGTCCCAAGGATGGTAATCCTGTAGCCAGAAAACAAATATTGTTTATCTTCTTCTTGTTAGTTTTATATATATATATATGCTGGAACATACGCAAACACACAGCCATATATATATGTATAACTCTGGAACTGAAGCAATTTCAACCAAATTTGGTATACACAGATCACTTAACCTCTGGAAACAAATACAGTGGGACAAGACATCCCTAAAACCTCTTTGGGGGGGGGGGTGTTCTGTTAACATACAGCCTGTTGTGCCTTAAAACGACTTCTACCATACTGCCATAAAATGGCTTCTACTGTAGAGCGCAGTGAAGTTGCCATGGTGAGTGACATCGAATTGTCCACGTCCACCCAGTCACATGACCACCTAGCCACGCCCACCCAGCCGGTCATTAGGCAGATCATATTAGTGGTCCTCAGGATTTAAAATTATGAATTTAGTGGTCCCTGAGGTCCAAAAGGCTGGGGACCGCTCACAAGGAGGACTTCCTTGCCTTCTTCTGAAGCCTCACCAACCTCATTTATCAATAGCTTGAGAGGCCAAATACTGTGAAAACACCCCAGGATCCATCTGAAGATGCTAAGCCAAGTCGGGGCTGATGGTTTACGTACCCTAATCGATCCACCAAGTCCCACAAGACGTTGGGAGAAGGAACCAGGGGGGAGCCGTCGTAGAGGACCACTGAGGCCCCCACTGCGAGAGCAGACACCAGCCAGTTCCACATCATCCAACCCGTCTAGGATGGAAAGAGGACAATTAACTTATGCAGATCAGCTTCTCAGAAGATCATTGACATCGCAACCAACATAAGTACGTGCCAGTTGCCAAGCGTCCGAATGTAGATTAGGCAGAAAAGGCTGTTTTGCTTTTCCGTCTGTTTTTAGACCTGCAAAGACATGTTTTTGCACGTCTCCGAGACAATCCACGTAAAGCACAACCTACGGCTCATGTGCTAAGTGTGATGTAATTTCCAGAGTCTCTTGCAAAGCAGTGCCTCCCCCCCCTCCTGACCCCAGGCACAAGAACCAGCCGCCTGAACATCCCAGAAATATCCTCTAGAAAGCTTCCACACTATTATATATACATGTTGAGAATTTTAGGGGTTAAAATGTGCAGAGGAGAGCAAGCAGAATGATGAGGGGACTGGAGGCTAAAACAAATGAAGAATGGTTACAGGAACTGGGCAAGGCTAGTCTAGGGAAGAGAAGGACCAGGGGAGACAGGATAGCAGTGTTCCGATATTTGAGGGCCACAGAGAGGAGGGGGTCAAGCTATTTCCCAAAGCACCCAAAGGCCAGACAAGGAATAATGGATGGAAACTG